GAATGAGATCATTCGAAGGTCATCTCTGTTGTTGTTGAATGTCATTGACCCAATTCTTTTCACACATCACTATTTTCAGTGCTTTCACTGGTCTTCATTCGAAACTTGAGAAAGGTCTTTCAGCTCTTGATTTTATTGTGAGTAGGTGCAGAAGGAGTAAGCAGTGATATTCGAGCAATTATAAATCATTGATTTGTTTAGCACTAAGACCAGGAGTGAGGTAAATTACGATTGCATCACTTATCACTTTTTAATCAATTTTGACATTCATCAGTACTGCTTCATCATTTTTGCGTATGTTCACAATAGTGATTGTTGCAATCGATCATGAACCGAATATTATAAACGTTGAATAAAACGTAACTGTGAGAAGCTTACGCACGTCATCGAGCGGTAACGATCAGGTAAAACGAAGTGGTAAGGTGAAAGTATCAATACGCTATTCAGACGTCCTGCTCACCAGTTGCCTTAATGTCTCTGCTTGAGGTAAATTAAAATTTGTGATGCTTTCTTTTTCGAAGTGATAGATTGACGGTAAGCATAGCTTTTTGGCGAAATGCTTATTGATTTCATAAAGTCAGTGTTCAAAGCATTTGCCTTTTGTCAATACCGCTCATTTGATCTGCCATATATTCGCGATACATTCGTCCACCTTGTAGTCCACCTCAGGTCATTATTTCCATATAAATAACAAATGATATAAGTGTGAACAGTTTCTGTCCAAACAAAGTGCTAGGCTGCTTCACAACTTTTTAATTCGCCACCTAGCTGCTTCCACTAATTGATTATCTGATAACGAAGTTGTTCAGTTAATTAGTTTCAACTATATTATCATTCGAGAAGTGGTGATTATTAGAGATATCTGGTATAAATGAAGCATCAAACATAGAGAGAAATGGTCCGATTTGCAGTGTCATGCAACAGTTAATCCAGGGAATAGTTTAGTAATAAAGTAATGCATGATAACCTGCACTGTATCAAATCAAAAATGCGCACTTTTGAATGAGTCGAAATATTGTAGTCGAATGGTCATTGTTGCTATTTGAACACCTTCATCGATTCCCCTCGTAAACCATCCACAACTGTTTCACGGAATTGTATTGCTCTTGTTCAACTATCATTAGCATTTCATTATTTTCGTCCATTTTTTTCAGTTTCGCTCTCCATCTTTCATTTCCAGGAATGAAGCGTTATGATGCTGAGTTTTCCGATGTAAGAATGATTCGGTGTAGTTGACGGCCTTAATCATTCTGAAGCACCCCGTGAGTCTCCTCCGTCGCCCTTATGGCGAAAGAATTCATCCTTAATTGTATTGTAACTTAGCTTAGTTTGGAGCAGAGTTGTTGAAAATTTTGTTAATGTTCGATTGAAAATGATCGCTTGTAAAGCTTCCACTGAAATGACAGGAGTTTGAACTCGAATGCACCTCCAAAAGGTGCCGCCGAATCCAGGCTCCCGACATATTTCCCCGCAAATCTTCGGTTCACTCACCGAAAGCTTCTGCTAACTCTGTGCTTCGCAGTTTTGATTTGTTCGATAAGAAAATATGTTGTGGAATAAAAGAAAGGGCATTATAAAAACTTCACTGATTTCTGACATCAGTTATATCACAAACAGTAAACTTCATTCGTCTTATACACGTGTGCAAATTGCGACTTCATCTTCGCTTTGAGTAATAGCTGTATTGAAACCTAATCATACCATAACGTTTTGTGTCGTCCTTTAACGAGTCTGGTTGGATTTACGATCCGAATGAATGAGTGGCGATTGCAGTATTAAGTGAATAGTGTTCTATGAACGCATCTGCAACAGGAACTTATTTTGGTTGAGGGTGTTGAAAAGGGGGTGATCGTTATTGACGTTGAATTTATGATATTTTCGTAGTGGGAACTAGAGTTCGTCGGGTAACGAGGTTCGCGAAGGGTCGATTTTTGGTCGCCCATCCACTTTGGACCCTGACCTGGTCGTGTACGTAGTCAAAAAACTGCTCGTTGACGAACACTAGTGGAAACATCAAACAATCGTTAATTACTGTTCAACTATCATCATAGATTTAAATTCTTTCAGTTAGGTTATTTTCATTTTTGATTGTTGAATGTATGAATGAATTAGCACTGACGTTGCTCTGATCAAGTGAATTGTGCTGAGAATTAACTCCAAATTAACGGCCATAATTTTTCAGAAGATGACTACTGAAATTCGTTGTAAACTGGATAGCCTGATGCATGTCCTGTTTCCGAAGAATTGCTTCGAGGAAATGGTCATCAAATTCAACGTCTTCCATCGTATGTTGTATATCATTTTCACTTTTTATTCTCTAAAACAAGACTGAGTCATATTACGAAGTAGCTATTATTTTGCAATTTTATAATGTAAAACGAGTCGTAATCCAAACAGATTGTTTCTCGAACCACGGCTATAATGCATTATTTATAGCTGAATGCGCATCGTTGGTGTTATCCCGTATGCTGGGAACGGGTATAACAGTGGCTTCATTAATGTTATTTATACCGCAAATCATTAAGATTCACATGGCTCGTTCGGGTGCTGGTATCTCACTTTCAGCTCAGTTATTAGGATTGTTATCCTGTTTTGCAACTGCTGCCTACAGTTACACCAATAATTTCGTTTTTAGGTTAACCTTTTATTAATTCTGTTATATCGGTGTCAAGTTCAAGTTAGAATGTACACATACACAGAAATGTTTTCATTCAATAATTGACTTTAACGATTTGAGTCAGTGGGGTGATACGTTATTCGTTGCAATCCAAATGGTCATAATCGTGATGCAAATCCTCTACTTCTCGTCGTTATCTGCATACGCGTTCGCATTTTTTGCTTTCTGTTGGGCAGCAACATTTGCTGTCATTGGTGATTACATACCGTTTGCCGTTTTATACGCTCTTCAAGCCATCACCATTCCACTGGTGGTTGCCTCAAAGGTACGTTCAGTTCATTTTTTATTTATCATCATTCATCACTGGTTGTTGATTGCTTTCCATAAGAACCGATTATAATTGATATGAGATTTTATGTTTAAAGGAAGAGAAGCTTAGTTTTGAAGAGAGTGTTATGATTAGGCGTGAGGTCGTATATTTGAAAAAATCGCTGTTGAATCAAACAAAATTCAGTTTCTACAAATTCTGTCGAGCTATAAAGAAGGAAGTACCGGTCAGCTGTCACTAATCTCAGTAGCTCTTCAATTCTGTGGTTGTCTCGCGAGAGTATTCACATCTGTTAAAGAAACTGGTGATTCTCTTGTTATTGTTACGTATGTGGTGTCGTCGATCATGAATGGTATCATTCTAGCCCAGATATTCTGGTACTGGAATGCTGTCGATAAAAAAGTTGAGAAAAAGAAGGTGTAACTTATTAATTCGAACCTATCTTCATACTTCATTCCTGTATATCAGTTTGAGTTTGCTTCTTACGTTCAGTAAGTACGTCAGCCTATGGAAAATTTGATTCTCCGCCGATGTTCCTGAAGCATTTTGCAAAGTTTAAATTCTTCCTGATTCTTTCCAATGCTCACAAATAATTACTCGTCTTCAGTTCTTATTTGCTGAGTTCGATCAAGTGTGAATTGAACTCAAGCGTTTATCTCGCAAAAAATAGGCTAATATACAGGTTGCCTCCAAAGTTGTTTGAAACGGCGATATGTTTGTCATAACTGTGATCGATCGAATGATATTAGTCAGTGTTTTTATTAATTACAATTTGTATTTCAAGTTTTTGTTCGTGAACATAAGAGCCTTTTTGTGTGTGATCATTATCCACGCTCGTTGTTCCATATTTCCCTCATCGCCATTTCATTGATTTGAACCGATCATTATATTGTTTATTCTTTGTTTTTATGATTAACCTCCAGCGTTATTTGTAACGTATTAATGTTCAGTTAATATTTAATGTTCATGATGAAATTGAATTTTCATTTATTGGTATATTCATTCATATTCTTTGAAGTTCTCAGTCAGCCGAAAATCACATCATTTTCATCAAAGATTCGCTGTATAGTTCTGTTGTTGAACATCTGAGAGCATCCAATCAGTCTATTTCATAGCATTTGTGCTTTGCTTTATCGAATATCGCGAGCAAACACATTTTTGATTGGATTGAATTTTTATTGATTTGTCGAATTACTAAAACATTTCAGTGGACGTGATCATAATCAAATGTATTGGTTCAATAAGCGGTCGAATTATTTGCCTCTTGAAATTCATTAGACCCATGATGGGTTGAAGTTTTTGTTATTTCATATGAACTTGGTTTGCTTAAGGTGCGTTAAATAAATGTTTCATTTGGATGTTATTTCATGTGTGAATCTCGCTTTGTTACGAAAGTACAATTCTGATTTAGATAATATGTTTTACTGGAAATATGATGAGGCCAAAGTTTGGTCATCGTGTGCTGGTTTTAGGATCTTTCATTCATTGCTCTAGAAAGGATCAACGAAGTTTCAGATGGCTGGAACTGAATTAACTCACACGTACAGCTTATAACTCAAGCAACTTTGCAGTTTGAAGTAATCGAATAAATAAAGTTGGATGAAGTGTTTTCGGAGGGAATTAATCGAAATGTTTCATATTGAATCTACATCAGTGTTTTGTGTTTGTCTCATCTGAAACGATCNATTAAATGAGGTGTTTTCGGAGGGAATTAATCGAAATGTTTCATATTGAATCTACATCAGTGTTTTGTGTTTGTCTCATCTGAAACGATCAACTGAAATGGAGACATGTTCAGATATATGAATGGTAATTATGGGTCGTATATCAGCATTACCAAGACTTGTATACGTTCGTGTGGTTGATTACTGGAAGAATGTCGCGAATGATTATAAAACAGTTTTGGTTGACTTGTTTGAGGAAGCAAAACAAAAACCTCTGAAGAGCACTGTTTTTGGATTAGCATTTGGTGTGTTCGCGTACGCGTATAAAACGAATCCATCTGAAAGGTGATTCTTTTATCATTCGGTTCATCGAATTGAGTCTGATGAATGTTAACATATGATCGCAATGCTCATTCTGTATCTAATATTCATAACTTAATAATATACACATAACGTGATTTGAATTAAGTGTAACTGAATTGAAGGGATATGCTGAACGCATTAACAGAACGTCGACAACAAATGATTCTGATACCGAATTCAATTCATAATCGTGCAACAGATCGGGAAATCGCTTCGAGAACATTATATCTTGATCAGCACCGACTTGAACATATCGACTGTTTCTTCTTTTCACTCGCCGTCAGACGACCGCATGATCGATTTGTACTTAATTTTTATTTTATTCTATGTATCCGTTTTAGTTATTTATTTCATCGTCGAGTTCATTATTATTTTGATCGTGATACCTGAATTCATATCACGCATTTTCAGGTTCAACTGTATTTAAATCAAGATGTGAATTTACAAGATTCTTGGTGGAAAGAGTTATGGAAGAATACAATCGATGTGGGTGCTTTTGGTCGATGGTACTCGTTGAACAGAGCATTTCAGAATTACGACATTAACGATGAAGAATTCAATGAAAATGATCAAATTCAAGTGGAAAATTCATGAAGGAACGTTGATTGGAGATCATTATGCACCGTTTCGACGAATACTTTAGGAATAATTAGGATGGCTGATTGTCCATCAATGTATTCATCTCTCCTCTGAACTAGATGAATTGTAATAAACGATTATGTTCGATTTCCACATTTATTTCTCTCTTGATGTGTGCGTCAGTCACGAACGAACTTTATCAAATGACTTCGGAATATCCCATTCATGTTGAACCGAAATCAGTTGATTAGCCGAAAAATTGTTTTTTCGACGTCATGTTTGTTGTTGTTTATTATAATTATTAATGAAGATAACCAATTGAATTATTCGCGTAAGTATGCTGCATGAAACTTCATCATACCAATGATATCATCAAACAGTTTGAATAGTCATCTGTGATTTGTCAGTTTCATTTACACGTCTATAGTGTTCTTTGTTGTTCCAACTGCAAACTTCCATTCTTCTGCCTGCATCATATCCATTCAGTTTCTTATAATTCGATCGCCGTACAACATCAGCAGGAGACAGTCACAAACATGTAATAGTTCACCAATTTAACAGTGTCGCATGCAAATGGTTTACCATTGATTGAAGGTGCGATGACTGAATTGCTTATATTGATGAAGGAAAGTACCTCTGGGATGAATAAACATGCAAACTGATTTTTGTGTGAAAAACCGTTTTCACATGAAAACAATTATTAAAGTTGATATAAGAAAGGATTGTGTAAGGTTTGTGTAATTAAGGTGTATAAGGTTAATTAAGATAATTAAGATATAAGGTTAATTAAGAAAGATATAAGGTTTGTGTAAGAAAGCTTTTACAACTATCTTAGAAAAAAGCTTTTGCAAGGATCATATAAAAAGGATGACCTAAGATATAATAATGATCATATAATGATGATGTAAGGAATATTTTGTAGGAATCTTATACGAGAGACTAATTTTTTGGTAGAAATAGCAAACGAAAAATAGAAAGGCAATTATGCTTGCAAGCGAATTTGGTCATGGTCGGAAGTGCACAATTTGGATAATATTTGAATTCAAAATCGAATAAGGATTAAATCGGAAAAAAATTCGAAACTTCAGAGAAATAGCTGAGTTTCTGAAGGTATCTCGGTTGCTCGACAGCGCTCGTTTCAATACACTATCTCAGTTGATCAATACATACATTAGCATAGCTCTATAAAAGTCACCATCTCCAACCAATCGGTCTTCCCAGATGTGCCCAGTACCATGGTGGATTGCCCCTTCTAGATGTAATCAGAATCGTTCATATATCTCATCAAGTGCATCAGAATAGGTATTTTATGCTTGTTGATCCTTACCAGAAATGCACGCAAGAGGTGGTTAGCGATATTCGCATTCAATTTCTTTGATGCATCGACGAGGAACTCTAGCTTTTTATTTGCTTTGAACAAATTGATATCTCGACGACACAATATGTTCGTAGCAATTTCGAAAACTAGCAGTGCATTGCATAAGTCTGTCATTTCATTCCGGTCGTGCTCACTGAGTTCGTATGGGAGTTTTAGAGCGGTAAGGGTCTGCTCAATCTCATCAGAGCATTTTACAAATTTTTTCAACATCGCGTTCAAAGAAGGGTGATGCAAAGCACATTTTGCTACATCTGAATGATCTGGAAATGATTAATGCGTGATCCGAGATGAATTTATTGCCAATACGAAATGATTTGCTTGATTAAAACCCGAGATCCCGGGATTTTTCAAAACTTAAAACCGGGATCGGGGTCAACACTCAAATTCTCGGATCCCGGAATCCCGTGGAAACCCTAGTTGTGATCTAACACACACACAGAATACGCGTCAACCATCACATGCATGAGGACATTGTGCAATAGCTTTCTCCATATATGAACAACTGCTTTCTCGAACAACGAGAAACATTTCAACTGAAATTAATTTAGTTTGAGCAAATAAGCATGCTCGCAGCTAATTGTGATCCATGCAACGAGAAATAAACCAATGACAAAAACTAGTTGTAAGCAACAGCTGGATGTGGCTTGGGTTCATATTACAGCTATAATCATAGGTCAATCGCAAATTTGTNCAGACTGAAAATTGAAGTGAATCCGTCCTGAATAGCAGTCACTTGAATTTCAGTCAGTATTAGTAGGCATTTGACCCATGCTGCAATTCAAGTGGATGCCATTCAGCACGAATTCATTTCAGTTGGTATCAGTGTGCATTTTACTTCTACTGCACAACAAGTCAACACTCTCCAGTTTGATTTCATTTCAGTGAGCATAAATTTGCAATTAACCTATTCTTCACCTGAAGTGAAGTGATTATAGTCGTAATATGAATCCAAATTGTAACCAATTGTTGCTTGATGTTTATCATTGGTTTAGTTCTCGTTACATAGATCACAATTAGCTGCGAGCATGCTTATTTACTCGAATTGAGTTCATTTCAGTCGAAATACTTCTCTTCGCTGTGAAAGCAGTTGTTAATTTGCGAGAAGAGCTGTGGCACAATGTCTTCATCCGTGCGATACAAGAGGATGTGATTATGTGATTATGATCAAATCATGTTAAGTGAATATTTTGAATGGTTGTTGAAATAAATGCTTATTGATTTCTATTAAAATCATTTAGGATCAAGTTTTTGTTATTTCATCATCGTGACAAGGATTCGATTTCACGTTTTTAAGGATAATTCCAATTATATGCGAAATGGAGTAGTAAATATGTTCAGTTATTATCCCAATTCAGTAATTCGATATATTTCAGTGATCTTGGTCCGATTGGAGTTTGTTTGTTCATTTATTCCGAATGAGTGAATCAAGTGATTCATCGAATAACGTATTGCCCACTTCTGAAAAGAATGAGGTAAAATCTCGAATGGTTCTTTGTTGATCAAATTTACTCACAGTGACTTCATTCTTCTCGTTGTATAAAAAATCATAGAGGTGATGTGTTGTGAAGAAGGGGAATGAAATTTCACTACAATACCCCTGATCAGTTAAGTTATTGTGCAACAACCATTCACGCTTGAAGCCAAATGGATCAGAAATTGATTACACCTCTTTTCATCATCACCTTGATGCAAAATTGGTAATATTATCTTTTTTTAAATAATATTTCTGTTGTAATTTGGTGAGTATCAGCGGTATAATCCAGGAAGCTTATGAAATTTATAGTCCTCAGATGTATAAACAGGAAAATTCTAGGATGACGTGAGTGAAGGTCATCATTCAGCAAATGAATCTCCAGTCAGATCGTCATCAGCTTCGCCGCATAGGTCATCTTTCATCATTATTGTTATTATTACTCATTATTTATGTGATCATTATCATTACTGTTATTACGATTATCATTCCATGTTGTTATTATGATCCATATAATAACATAATATCGATTTTTCAAACTTAGTTGAAAACTGAAGATTGCAGACATAGCCGTCATTAACATATTTGTGAAGAATCGTAGCTGATTTGCGTCTGTTAATTCTGTGATCGATAAATGAGTGAAAATGAGAAAATTTCAGTATAAAGCAAGAAGAAGAAGAAGTGATGAATGAATCGGATGGTGTTAACGATGATGGTCAGAAAGAGGCAACAGAGCATGAAAACGACGAGAAATACGTCGATAAGAAAGATGATAATGATGATGATAATGTGAATGAAGAGGATGTTGCTGGTGCCGACAGTAATGATAATAATAAAAGTGATCTCGATGAAAACAATACGGATGGTAATAATCGGTTGACGACAATTATTATACTCTTTTAAGATTACTCGTTTACGATTACGTTGACGTGTGCCCAACATGTATCATATTGATTAGCATGTTTTCATGAAATGACACAGTTTGTGTTGAGCAAAAGTTTACTTATTAAGTAAATTATTGATTTGGTATTATGATTTAAAAAGTGCAATAAAACGAATTCAGATGAAGGAGCCGGTCCATCAAAACGACGTCGAATAGTAATGTCGAGTGATGAGGATGATGATAGCGATACTGATACCGCACATGCCACAGCGAAGTTGTTATTGCTACTATTATGATTACTATCAATTTTGTTCACTCCATCTCCATTTTCATTCATCACAAACCAACCGATTTTGTCATTGATTCGGTATGCTCGTCAAGGTGACAGTCATTGTGTACCGGCAGAAACTGACTCATGTTGTTCGATTGACATTCCGTACAGAACTTCAACCAAAATGAAACTGACACTCTGTGCTCAAGCTTTTGATCGTTGTTACCGATTTTTGCAAAATTTCAGTTTGCATTATCACATGTGAAGCTTATGAAGCTCATGTGAAGCTCATGCTCAGCGGTTATCTGAATTAACACATTCCGTAAAGTTCATGTCGAACGTTCACTTCAAAAATAAAGAATTGCGTCACTAATTGTATCATTTATGTAGTATCGAAATCAGCTTTTCACAATTACCCACTGTACACGTTATATAAAGAAACTTCCAAAGTCCGTACGTAGAGCATGAACTTCGTGTGCGACATTTTCGGTTGAAAATTTGCATGAAATGTTTCAGGGTCAATATGAATCAGTTTCTGTGGCGAGCCTGAAATTGAAAAAAAAAGCTGATACTCAGCGATTTTTGATCATGAATGTTTACAATCAGGTCATTTATGGGCTTGCTTCGAGAAAAAAATTCAGTCACAACGCAATTACATTTATCCTCACCGATAGTCATTACGTGTCATCATAGAATTATTCTTTATTGTCATTATAGGCATAAAGAAACGGATTCAGATGGAGAACAGAAAGAGGGTGATGGTGAGGTTGGTGTTGGTCAGTTAATGACAAATATCTTCGGCGAGGAGAGTGACGAGGAAAAAGAATCAGAAGAACCAACTCAACAAGTATTGTACTTATTTGATCAGTTCATCTGTCTTTCATTCAGTCATCGTTAAAGCTTCACAGTTCAAAAACTACTTTTCAATGATGACTATCACTATTATGTTCTCTCCCACATTCAACGATATCAACATTCTGAATTAGTCATTAGCAAATGATTAATTTTATTTTTAAATAAATAAATTAATTTTCATGTTTGTTTAAAACTTATTATTTCGTTTTTTTTGTTGACAAAAGCCACTATGTTGGAACAATGAAGTTGGCATTCAAAATGCAGGTGAATAATAAATGAATATAAAATTAAGCAGAAGGACGAATATGATGAAGATGAGCCGCGGTATATTCGTGAAGAAGGTTTGGATGATGAGGAAGATGAAAGGTTTGGTCTGCTTCAAACTTATTCCAGTCTTTGTATTTTCTTTCGAATAGATTTGAATATAAAAAGTGAGTTTTAATGAACTGATGATTATAGTAAGGTATGGGATTTCGATGAGATGATGCGATTGAAGAAGGCTGAACGAAGAAAGCAGAAACGTCGTCGGAGGGATGGATCTATCTATATTGGCAATGATGCTGATGAGCAAATTCGAATGCTTACTGATGCCATGAAAGCTGCCGCTAAAGTATTGTTATTGCTTTTGGTGTGAATATGAATACTGACATTCATGATCATACACTCACTCCTTTACAAATTGCATCTTTTTGCGGTGGCAGTGTTCAGAGCGGAAAGATGTTCATTTGTTTAATTGTCTTACTTTACATGATGAATAGCAATGAGGTTTGTCTTGTTCCAGAGCAGGAGTGTAATATGCAAATTGAAGAGAGTTTTTTAAGGATGATCGTCATTCGAATGTCGAAAGAAAACCAGCATTACAGAAACGAAAGATGTTACGTTATGTGAAGGCGATGCTAATCAAGCATGATTTTGTTGAGGCGATTATTGGTGCGTATTGTGATATTGTTTATTTTCGTTGAACTGAACTTAAGGTGACGGCAGAAAAGGGTTCATCATCAAGAATGCGGTCATTACGATAATGAATATTTTGTTGTTGTAGTCGTTAAAAATATGATGTGTAACTACAACGACGATGCTTATAATAATTAGTTGATAGTTTAGACAACGGTATGCTGAGTGCGGTGTCAGAATGGTTAGCACCATTACCGGACAAGTCATTACCAGCACTCGAAATTCGAACGGATTTGTTGAAGATTCTTCAAGATTACAGTCGCTTAGAACAAGGCACGTTGAAGCAGTCAGGATTAGGGCGTGCAGTGATGTTATTGTATAAGCACCCTAAAGAAACGAAAGAGAACAAGGCACTTGCTCATGCACTTATTTCTGAATGGGCTCGTCCCATCTTCCAGGTTATTTATTTTCTTTGTTTCGACTGATCCACTCGACAAATTCATACCAAACGCTCATTTGCATTTCCAGCTGGATACGGATTTTCATTCAATGACAAAAGAGCAGCGTATGGAGCGTGATTATTCAAATTTATCCGAATCAAAAAAGCAACGTTTAGGGTTGGTTTGTATAATATCTTATATTTAAAGTGATTTTAGCATCGATCAGCGAAATAAGAAGTATATCCCTACAAGATAGTGATTCATCTACACTTGTTCAGGCCTAACAAAGTGCATTCATAATGTTTTGCGTTAGCTTTACAATTCTCATATTGGTTTTTAGCAACACAATAAGTAGATTTAAAACTGCGTTCCATGACGAATCTCGTCTGTATGATCAATCACTCAGCCGATATCCTTCTACAATAACTTAGATTGTTGTGCCACTGATTCAGTCGTTAATGTGTAGAAATGACCTAAATGCCACATTATTGCTTAACTGATGAATTAAGCCAAAACGAAGCATCAACGTCCGCGACATCAGAAGCTGATAAGGAATCAGAGGTGAGAGTTGGTGAGAAAGGATTTATAATGCGAGCACGGGTACCACGTCCATCGCAAAGAGACTATGTGATTCGCCCGAAAAGCAACGTTGAAGGACCCTTCAGAGGGGCCACCAAAAATCGACTGAATTCTCGTCTCGATCGAACACAACGCGAGTTCAAAGAACGCACGAAGAAGAGTCGTGTACAACGAGCTCTTGCTGTCAGTATTGAAGGACGTAAAATGGACATTTGAATGATCATTTCGTCTCGGTTTTATTAATGATTCTATCCTTTAGTTTGCTATTTTACAGCGATTCCTTGAAAACAAATCATTTAGCGTCAAATGATAATTATATTACTCGAGTGTTTTATGTTGTTTTCGTCCTCAACAAACAGTCAACGTTCACAGTTTCAAATCCACTCGTACTTCTAATAGCACTCTTGTTTATTCTTTTTCATTCAGTAAATGAAATTTAGCAGTTATTTTTAAACATATGAATATTTTTCGAAAGTTTATGAAGAATGGTAGTGTTATGCATTATAATTGTTTCAGATAGTTATCACCTGTTCGAATTTAGGTTTTGTTTTTATCATAATATTCTCTGAGTATGTGTTTTGTTTTGTTTTTATCATAATACTCTACGAATCGTTGTTTTGAGTTGCATTCGTTCGGGTTAAATTTATTCAACAGTTGAGCTGAAAATATGATATACGGTATGTGAGAGTAAGCATCTACCGCGATATCGGTAAATGATCAGCATTAAGAGAATTGGGTTTTAAAAAATCTACGAAATTATTTGAAAAGTCGATGAATTTGATCGTGGTACCATCTGAATTATTTCAAGCAGATGCGCGAAGGAATTGCTGTTTTCGGCTTTGATAGCAGTCCTCAAAAGTAACCCAATGTTACGTATCGTATTTGTGCAAGTAATCCATCTCTTAATGAAACGAGCCAAATTATCTTTTAGTCCCATCTGCATATTTTCGTCTCTTGATTTTATCATCTCCCAAGAAAAAGATCAAATCGCTAATGCACTAAGTTGATGGAAACACCATGACTTCGCGTCGAAAGAAGTTCGAAACTATTCTCAAAACTTGTTTCACTCTGCGCATGTGGTGATTGGTTCAGTTATTCATGTGGTTGCGTGCGTTTTTTTTTTCGCTCATTCAACCATTGTTTAGCTACCGTAAAAATTTCCCAAGCTGACTGTCTGCCTTCGTTATCGCACTGAGAACAGTGAAGTACGGATTTATTTCATTTTGCTGAACATTCCATATTTTTATTCAGTTGACCGTAACGTCACCAAATTTGTGTGATGAAAATAATGGCTATTTTGAAGAGAAAAAAACGTCGAAGTTATTAGTTGATATAAGGGATACGGTTTGATCTCCGATTGCCCCATTAGAAATATGTAATAATGCTTGATCAACTCTAATATATAGGCTAACTGCTATAATTTCGGTCAGTTTGGTGAGTTAACATCGTTTTGTATTGTTTTGCATTGTTAATATATGTATAATTTGTATTTTTTAATTCCAAATTCGTTCACTCTTTATTTATAAACACGTAGTTATGTTTTGGATAAAATTTCTTGTTGATGTTTTTGCTGTTGGTGACGATTGCATCAAACAGTGGGTGTTCGAAAATAATTGCTGGATTTGCGGATCGAAGACAATCTCATTCATTAACCAAACACACAACGTTTCTCCACTTTATTTGATTACATTTAACGATAGAAGTATCCTGGTTGTTCTGCATCCACTTCTAAATAAATTTTATTTTCAGTTGTGCCTCATTTAACAACCAAATGGTTTTATAACATAAATTTTTAAAATCTGAGACTTTTTTGAGTTTAACGCATTATTCAATATTTATCGTTATCAGTGATGTCT